CACTATGGGCCAGGGACTAAAGCACAGTCAATTTGATAAAACTAATGTGAATTAGTCACAGAATGAAGGAGGCAAATGTACAGGGCACTAAGGAGAGCTCTTTATCTCTCCACCATGCCTTATAGGACAGAAAATGGGTGCATTGTGTCAATGGGTTATTTAAAAACAGTTGGAATGAAGCCACTCTTGTGATAACTGAAGTTGTGACTCTGCTTATTTTTCCCTACTATGTTCACTTATTTTCTTGCCCATTACATTACCAAGATGACATGAACACATTTTCATCAGAGGGCTTCCACTTGTTTCTCTTCTCCTTCACAAGCTTTCAATTTTGAGCTCCTTGAGGGGCTCGAAAGTGTCTTGTTTCTTCCTCAGAGGTGTGTGATACTTGCTTCTCATATGAATTGACATCAGCAGCAATAGGCGTGCAGGACTCAGATTTGTTGAATGCAAAAACCCTTGGATTAAGAATAAGAAAAAAGTTGGAGGGTCATGGAAAATGTCAATTTTAGCAGCTATAGCTGTATCAGATGTATGCATGTGCCCTTTAATACAATTTCATTTTTCAGAAAAATATGAAGCCATTTGCTATGTTTTCTTTAATTCTATGTTTTGTTGGAAGATGCCATTTAGACCTTTTCTGGTTAAATTTGCGATGTACAGTCAGAGATGTAGCCCAGTGGTAGAGCGCTTGCCTAGGATGCACAAAGCCCTGGGTTCTCGCCCCAATACTGCAAAAAAAAAAAAAAAAGTAATGCAATATATTTGTAGCTATTATTTTTATTGTTGGTCATATTGTGTTATTCTTGAGGGCGGGTTTACTTTGAGAAATGTCTTACCACAGTGCAGTTCAGTGTGCATAAAAGAGTAGGCTAGTGGAGATACCGTGTAGGAGGGGAAATGAATGTGCATGTTCAGCTGAATTAGTCACAAGATGAGTGAAGCAAACCTACAAGACACTTAGTGAGGAGAGCTTTTCACGTCTCCATGGTGCCCCTTATAAGGCAGAAAATGAATGCATCATTTCGACCAGTTATTTAAAAGCATTTTTCATAAGAACATTTTTCCTTGTTTTTTTAGTTTTTAACTCTCCCTTCAAGTCAAGAATCGAGTCATAATTTAGATATAGAGGTGAAAATAGCTGGTGACTTCTAATTCTAATACTTATAGGTAACAGTAGTGGTGTGGTAATAATAATGTAGTAGTAGCAGCCACAGTAGTGGTAAAACTCACTCGAGCATATACTATATGTCTACACTGTGCTAAATTCTATTCCTGCATTAACTTTTCTTGCTGCCACTGCTTCTCCTCTTCTTCCCTCTGTTCCTCTCCCTTAAAGATGAATCTAGAGGGTTGGAGATTTAGCTCAATGGTGCCAGCTCCTGCCTTGCAAGCACAAAGTCCCGAGTTCAATTCCCAGTACCAAAAAAAAAAAAAAAAAAAAAAAAAAAAAAAAAAAAAGATGAATCTAGAGCTGGTTATTTTGTCTTTTTGAGATAGGGTCTCCCAGTGTTACCCAGGAAGGTCTCAAACTCATTATCTGCATGCCTCAGCCTCCCTACACTTGATCTTAGCCAAAAGGCCGAGAAGCAATGCCTCAACTTTCCTAGTAGCTAAGATTTCAAGTGTGCACTACCATGGCCAACACATTAATTTCTTTTCTTAAAGATAGTTTTTGTTTTGTTTTGTTTTGTTTTCTTTTGTGGTGCTGGGGATTGACCCAGGACCTTATGCATGCCAAACAAGCACTTTGCCACTGATCTGCATCCACAGCCCTTTCAAGGTAGTCTTGTATTCTGTGCTGGTGTGCTTTTAAGTTTGGTTAATTTCAAACTGGAAAAGGAAGAGAAAGGATGAGGGCATCTAATTCTGTGATTTTTTACCCAATTTTTTTAGCATAATAGTGAGGATTAAACCTAGGGCTTTTAGTATTAAGACAACATCCTCAGCCCTTTTTATTTATTTATTTTTAGACAGGGTCTCATTAAGTTGCTAAGTTGCCCAGGTTGGACTCAAATTTATATTCTTTCTGCCTCAGCTAAGTACTAGGATTACAGACATGTGGCATGATACCTGGTCCATCAAATGATTTTTTTAAACAGATAACCATGCTAGATATTCTATAAAGTAAGTTATACAGCCACTGCCATCTTTAATTGACAGTGGTTTTTGAAATCTACTTAAAGAAAACTAAAATTCTTGCTATATTCTCATGTGGAGTCAGTTATCCTCTACCATAGAGTCCTGGGGACACATCATTAGCTTTCATTGTGCCTTTGTCCATCTGGAGGTAAATGGACATCTGGGAGACTTCGTTATGATTCTTCATGTGAACTTAGTTATATAAAGAAAAAATACTCTAGAATTTCAGTGAGTATGGTAGCCACTGTCCACATGTGGCTACTGATCATTTTATAGGTCGCTAGTCCAAGTCAAGGTAGGCTAAAAGCCTAAGTAAGATATATACCAGATTTCAAAGACTTAGTATTTGAAACAAAAAAATATCATTAATAATGTTTAAACATTTATCACATTTTGTTTTATTGTTTTGGTACCGGGAATCGAACTCAGGACCTCACAGTTGCCAGGCAGGCACTGTGCCACTGAGCTACATACCCACCCTAAAAAGATCTTTGGAACATGAAGGTTTTTTTTTTTTTCCCCCTTTGGTACCAGGGATGGAACTCAGGACCTTGTGCTTGCGAGGCAGGTGTGGTACCACTGAGCTAAATCCCCAGCCCTGTCACATATTGAAATAATTTCTAGATACACAATATTGACTGAAATCAAACATGTTATTAAAATGAATTTTACTCGTCTTTTCACTAGTTTTTATGAGAAAACAAAATTACATATTTGGCTTGCATTATATTTCTATTGGACAGTAGTATACTAAGAAAGTTGCTGATTCCAAAAATACTGAACCGATAACATGTCCCACAAACTTGGGGGAGGTGCATAGGGCCATGTCCTTAATATAATACCTAAAGATGATAGCATCTTTTCCTAAGCTTGAGAGTTCTATTGAAGAAGGTCTAAGCTCCATCCTAGTTTCTCCAAGTGCTGTGTGTGGATGGCTTCATGCTCTAATACAGCAAATAGAATTTACCAAATCTTTCCGTTTTTTGTGCTTATTCCAAAGACTTAAAATCCATGTTTGTGTAAGGGTCCTAAAGTTAGCCTGATTAAAGACAGGAAGTGATAGAAGAGGGATCTCAGTCTATTTATAGCTTCATAGGTCTGCTGTTGGGGTCTTAAACTGTTTTGTTGTTGTTGTTGTTTTGTTTTGTTCTTTGTTTTTTTTTGTGATGTACTGGGGGAACTTGCACTTGCCAGGCAGGTGGCAGCACCACTGAGCTAAATCCGTGGCCCTACTATTGAAGTCTTTATGAATCTAGCCAGTGTAGAGGTACATTTCATTTCTTAATCCAGACTCCTTTGGAGAGTTGAAACTTGGCAAGGGAGTAGCAGTGATATGAATAACAATAATGTAACTGTGGTCTCCTATTTGAGTTTTTCTGTCACATAACCATTTTTATTTGATTTGATATTTCTTCTAAAAAGCATTTGTACTAGACCATTGTTTTCAGCTCTCCAACAAATACTTATTGAGCATCAAATATCCTAGAGATATTTCAGTGAATAAAACAGAACAGATGTAGCTGATATCCTAGACACTTACCTTAATGCTAGATTGTAAATCACAAGGATATTATGTGGTATTCTGCCATGTGCCTTTAAATTATGATGTGTTGCATTAACCTTTGACTTGTATGGTATTTTATCTTCTTGAATAACTGAAGAATTTGCCTTCTTGCTGTCATTATGTTTAGAGGTTTCGCCAGGAAAGGAGATGTGTATGATGGAGAGGGAAGGAGACACAAGATCTGTTTGTTTTCTCTTTTCGTAGTCTGTGTTGAACAGGTAATTTTCTCCCACAGGAAACCTAGGCATGGAAATACTTTCTTAACTAATTGGAAGTGACTTTACTACTACAATTATAATGATTCGGGGAGTTAATTTTAATTAAAATATGTACTCATTCTTACTCCAAAAGAGTTAATACTTTGATATTCAAATATAGGCACTACTTGGTGGGAAACAATTTATGTAAAAAAATGTTGCTAAGCTTTTTTAAGTGTGTTTTTAATAGCACTAAAATTGTGGAGGATTATGTAGCGCTTCTTAGCTTTCATTCCTTCATTTTAACGTTTTAAGGGTCAGCAATTTGTGACAGGGATGTCACAGAGGGCTCGGCTGGATGGTGCCAGTATATACTTCTGTCCATGGACAGGGCTGTATTTCCCTCTCAAAAATTGACAGTTTGTGTCCCCCACCTGAGCATCATATGACCCTTCCTGCACATCAGGATGAATGTGGAGTGGATCATTACGTCATCACTGTTAGCATTATATTAGCTCACTTTTATCATTCTTCATTTTTCTATTCTCTAAAGGAAATCCATACTAATACTTGGTTGATATATTAACTTTCCTACAACCAGAAAGTCATTTTGGTTTACTAGGGAATTTCGTTTTAATTTACCTTTACCTTCCAATCGCTTTCTTTTTATTTAAAGAGCCAATTTTAATATTAATTTAAGTTCTTTAATTGGTTATACAGATTAATGGGTTTCATTTTGATTCGTACATGCATATAACTTGCTTTGAACATCTTCACCCTATCCATCATTCCACCTTGCCCTGCCCTCCTCCCCAGTTTCACTTAGGGGAGCGTAAATGTGGATATTTTGCTCATGTCTGTTTCCCCTATTACCAGCACGTAGATAATTTTTAGCTTTGCAATAAATTTAAATTTTGTAGGTAGTCTAGTCCATATGTGTTTGAAACCACTCCCTCTCTCCACCCTTTATTACCTTTGTCTTGTCCAGGCTGGCCTTGAACTCACTGTGTAGCACAGGATGGCTTCAAACTTGTGATCTTCCTGAGGCTTACACCTTTGATAGCTACCTGAATTTTTACACTAATATTGCAACATGTTTTTCAGGTTTTCAATTCAAAAACAGCTGAACTACTTAGTCATCATCAAGTGGAAATAAAACAAGAGTTCCCAAGAGAAGGGTATGTTTTCTAATTTAATACATAAAGACACATCATCTTTAATGCTCATCTTAACCCGTCTACCTCATGAATTTGTAAACTTGGCTAGACCCCTTCCTGAGAAGACTTTAGGGATTGTTATTAGTGAATAAAAGAAGCAATAACTTAGTAGTGAAGCAAAAATGTGTGGGTAATTAATGGCTTAGGAATTCAGTGACAGAAAAGGAAGGGATGATAAAGTAATAAGTCAAACATGTTTTAATATCAGAAATGCTACATTAGTTCTGTATTCCCATCATTGTCAAATACTGCTTCACTAATTTGAGTACTGTACAGTATAAATTTTTTTAAAAAACTAAAGACATCTTTTTTTGGGGGGGTTGGTACCTGGGATCAAACTTACAACTTTGCACTTGCAAGACAGGCGTGGTGCCACTGAGGTAGAATCCCCAGCCCCAGGACATCTATTTTTTTCACAGCGCTTGAGAGGCTGAGGCAGGAGGATCGCTGCGAGTTTGAGGTCAGCCTGGGCTACATAGTGAGTTCAAGGCCAGTCTGAACTACATAGTGAGACCCTATCTCAAAAAAACCAAACAACGATGACAACAATAATAATGTTAAATTAAGAAGCATTTGCATATCTAATCACTAATATTAAATCATCCTTTTTGGGAATAGTGTTCATATCTGGAAATTGTAATTATAATGTTGAGTATATTATTTAAAATTTAAGGGTTTTTATGATATACCCCCCATTTTTTCTTTGTATCAGGGATCAAGACCTTTAAAGGCTATATGACAGTTTCTTTTGAAGTTTCCATATGTCTGCAGCCTTCCACTCTTAGAAATTCATTTAAAAGAAATAAAGGAAGATCCATAGAAAGATTTACACATTAATGTCTATAACCACTTTATTCATACTAGCCCCAAATGTCTGTCATCAATAAGATGGATAACAATGAAATGTTTTTTAGCATTTTAAAAAAGTAAGCTGAATCTCATTGATATTACAGATAGCTAAAAAAGGTACAAACAGGTGCATGTTGTGTAGCTCCATTTATCTAAAATTCAAGAATAGGCTAAACTAATCTAGGGTGATAGAAATAAAAAAGTGGGTTATGTGATCAACTTGAAAGGAACATGAAAGAACATTCTGGGATGAAAGAAATATTTTTCTCTTGGCATGGTGTTGGTTAGATGGATATCTATATTTGCCAAAACTTAGCAAATTGTGGACTTTAGATCCATCCATTTCACTGGAAAATTTATCTCACTTTAAGAAAAGAAAAACAGATGTTTTACTAAGATACGTCATTCTCTTTTCATGACAAATATGTGCTCTCCTTAGCTGGGTGTGCCAGTAATTGAAGCTACCCAGGGGGCTGAAAAATAAAATAAAAAGAGTCAAGTATGTAGCTCAGTGGTGGAATGTTTTCCTTGTGTGTGCAAGGCTTTAGTATCACCAAAAAGAAAAAAATTCCTATATTTGAAAGAGTTATTTTATTTTATTAAAAATTATGAGTATATTAAAAACATTAGAATGACTGTCCATAGGCCTAACCCCAGCTTTTTGGGAGGAGGATACCTAGGTCTTAGGGAGAAGAAAATTAGAAATGCAAAGAAGGTTTTCTTTGGGGAAGGGGTACTGGGGATTGCACTCAGGGCCAGATGCATGGTAGGCAAGTGTGGTACCACTGAACTACATCCCTACCCCTTTTTAAAATTTTGAGACAGGATCTTGGTAAGTTCCCCAGGCTGACCTTGAATGTACAGTCCTCCTACTTTAGCCCCAAGAGTAACTTAGATTATAGGTACGCGCCACCATGTCAGGTTGAGATTAGGTTTTTGAGAAGAGAAAATGTCTGGATGAAACTCAAAGCTTAAGGAAGTGTTTAGCCAGCCCTGAAGAAGGCAGAGAAGAAAAGCATTTAGAATTCCATTGCTACTTCCAGGCCCTGGAGTAGAATTTTTTTCAGTTTGTGTTATTTCTTCTTTGGGACTTCCTCAAATTGTTTCTCCAAGTCCTCTATTTATTGTCTCTAGCCTTCCCTCTTCTGAGATGTAGTACCTTACCAGAATTGCACAGGACTGGGTCTGAAAACATGGATCAATCATTTGTCTAATTGAAATAGTTATTAGGAATTTAAACTTCACCCTTAAATTCCAGCACAACATTTTAGGGAAAAAATAACATTAGAAATTAGTATATTTATTTGGCTTTGCAAAATTTCTTTCACTCCCTAAATATGATTTCTAAAAATAATGTGTCCATCAACTCAGAAATTGCTAGTCAAACAAATATATTTCCATCAACTTAGAAATTACTATTGAAACATGCATCAAAATTCAAATCCACAAGACATAAAGAATTGGGATGCTGGTCTCTTTTCTTCTTAGACTTGAAAAAACAATTTAAAAGTAGGTAGAATATTTGCTGTTTATGGCCTGTTGTTAGTGACTTTCTTTAAAAATAATTGATGATTGCATATAAAATATAAGGGGAAGCTTTTATTTAAACCTTTTATTTAAAATGTGGAATATAGATATGCTTTGCTTATGAAATTTTCTTTAATTTGTGTACCAGCCGTATGCTCAGTAACATTTCTATAGAAATAAATTATATTTGTATTGCTGTCTTGTGGACTAACCAAATACACTCTTTTGTTAAAGATGGGTGGAACAAGACCCCAAGGAGATTTTGCAGTCTGTCTATGAGTGCATAGAGAAAACGTGTGAGAAACTTGGACAGCTCAATATTGATATTTCCAACATAAAAGGTATTTCAATAAAATATTTTATTTGTATGGTGTGACACTCTCAACCAAATTCATTAATTGATTCTTTCAGCTTATAATGATTGCATATGCAGTGCCAGCCATTTCTGTGACAGCTGGAAGAAACAATACTGAACAGGTGATTAGGTTCCTATTCTCATGGAGCTTTCATTTTGGTGGGGGATGGGGTTCAGTAAAACAAAGCAGCCAAATAGAGTCTAGCTTTATATACTAGCACATTCCATGCAGAACATAAAAATCAAGTTATATGATGGAGTGCGCTTAAAAAGGATTACTTTAGGTTGGGTGGCCAAAGAAGGCTTTTGAAATGGTGACATTTGCTGAGATTTCCAAGGCCAAAGGGGGACAGCCATGTGGCTATCTGGGGAAGAGTGTCTTTTGGGAAAGAAGTGTTTATATATGCAAATGGCCTGTGGCAAGAAGTTTGGGACATTCCTGAGTCAGAGAGGCAGGCATGGCAAAAGGATAGTAAAATTGAGGATCCTAGGCATGGTAACACATGCTTATAATCCCAGGCTGAGGCAGGAGGGCCACTGTGACTTCAAGGCCAGCCTCAACTACATAGTGAAACCCTGTCTTGAAACATGGGGGAAAAAAGGTTGAGGTGTGAGAGCTGATAGTTGGTGGGAATTGAAGTAGGAATTGAACCGGAAACGAGTGAAGCCTTTTCAGCCACAGTTGCATGGGAGTTTGGATCGTAGCATGACAGGGAGCCATGAGAGGGCACTCTACAAGGTAATGAGGGCTGATTTACAGTTTAAAGGTGGCTCCCTGACTACTATACGAGCAGAGCGTTGTGCGGGCTTCAAGTGACCAGTGCAGAGGCTGCCATGGGAGCCCGAGAGAGGGAGTGGATAGCATGGAGGTGAGGAAGGACCCAGAACTTGCTGATGGATTGGAAATGAGGGTAACAGAGAGAATGGTGGGGAGAGAGGAAAAGATGAATCAAACACAGTGCTGGGAATATTTCTTTTCTCTCTCTGTCTGCACCATCCCTGCTTTTTCTGAAGGGCTACAGATTGAACTCAGGGCCTTACACATGTTAAACAAGCCCTCTACCCCTCTACTTTACCCAGAGCCTGATGCCTAGGTTTTTGCTTGAGCTCCTGGTTAGATGGTGTTGCCTTCTATTGAGGCAAGAAAGGCTAGTGAAAGGAACAGTTCAGGGAGGGTTATTTGAAATCTAGACACTTCACTTGGAAATATTCCCTGAAATAATTACTTTGAAAGTATGTGATCTCTCTGAATTCTTAGGGGTTTTATTAGAATATCTATCTACATATGCCTTTTTTTTAAGATGTGGTCTTTTTGTAGACCAGGCCTGCCTTCAACTCCTGGCAATCTTCCTGCCTCAGCCTCCCCGGTGCTGGGATTATGAGCATATACCACCACACCCGGCCTGTATTTGGCTTTTTGTTATTCATACAGGGAGAAAGAAAATAATCCAGTCACCCAAGATACATATACTGTAGTATCATGAAGGGTAGAAGCTTAACGTGGTGATTGCTTTTTCTAGCTTATATTTTTCAATTTTGCCATTCAAGATCTGTTTTCTTCTTCCTTAGTCTGATCATAGGTAGAGGGAAGTAGCAATTGATGGTGGTGCCCTGATTCACATCATCTTGGCTTGAGACTCACTGTCACTCCTAAGACTTTTTCCTATTCGTAAAATTAAAAATTCTTTCAAAAGCAAAAACCACACATACTCAAACCAGACATTCAGCAAGCCCACAGAAGGCCTCTTGTACGGCAGGTATGCTAGGGACACAGTGGAGAATGAATTCAGCCGTGCAGTAGAGGGTTGAGTAGGGGAAGCAAGCTAATCCAATAAATAAAGATAACTGGAAGATTGTAACAATAATGTAGTTATTCAAGCTATTATACATTTTAAAAGAAATAAACACCTAGGGCCAATTTGATATTTTTAACACTTTTCTAAAGCCTTGCATGTATGAATCCTCCTTTTTCTCTCTACATCTAAATAGAAGTGCTTTAAACTTCTTTTAAAGTTGTAGTCACTCAAGTTTAGATGAGCTGTACATCCGTGATTGCTGTTGATCTTTTATTATTGCTTGACGTACTGGGGATTGAACCCAGAGCCTTCATACTGAGCTACATCTCCAGCCCTTTCTTCTTCTTTTTTTTTTTTTTTTTTTTTTTTTTTTTTTTTTTTTTTTTTTTTTTTTTTTTTTTTTTTTTTTTTTTTTTTTTTTTTTTTTTTTTTTTTTTTTTTTTTTTTTTTTTTTTTTTTTTTTAATTTTGAGACATGGTCTTATTAAGTTGCTAAATTGGCCGGGCTGGGCTAGAACTTGAGGCCCTTTTGCCTCAGCTCCCAGGACACTCGGATTATAGATGTGTACCACCAAGTCCAGCTCTGTTGATCATTTCTTTGAGCTATTCTTATACCGTGCATGATCTAAACAGTGTAAACATATAATAGGCATTCAGTAGCACATTCTTGTCAGAGTAGCCACTACTGAACACCTAGATAATCCATGGAGTTTACAGCTATGTTTGGAATGCACTTCTGGGTGATCATGGCATTAACTTTGTTCTACCTTCTTAAAGGTAAGGCAGGCTATAGTGTATTGGCCCTCTGGATCCACTTGAGTCCTTTTATCTCTGGTATTTGTGATATATGTGAAGATGACACACAACTCCTGCCCAAGGGACTTGCCTTCCACTTGTATTGACTAGTCTGTCAGAACTACTGGACACATACTTCTCTACACTGTTGTGTTCAACCAATGTGAAACCCATATCTGAGCCACAGTGGTCAAGGATGAGAAGAACATCCCACAAGCCCCTCTATACAAAGTAGTGGTGGAAGGCCAGGGATGTAGTTCAGGGGCACAGTGCCTGCCTGGCAAGCGAAACATCCTGAATTTGATTCCTGGTACCAAAACACAAACAAACAAACAAAAACAAAGAAGTGATGCTCATTTTTTCCCTGATAAGTTACTGAATTGCCATTGCCGAAGCCAAGGCTTTTTTGCCTGTCTCCGTAGAACACCAGATCATAAACTGTTAAAACTGTAAAGGATCTTCCATCACCCATCCAATTCCTTCTAATTGCAGTGAGGGAAAGGAGACTAACTGAAGGTCCTGCAGCTCTATAGTAGTTTACAGCATTAAAGCACAGCTCTCCAACTCAGGGATTTTTTTTCCCCTGAGCAACACTGATGATAATCTCACAAATTACGTCAGCTGCTATTTTCTATGTGACAAGTAAATTACCTTTGCCAGCTGAAGAGTGATGTCGTTTATAGTCTTAACATGATAATCATTAACAGAGTTCATCATATCTAGTTGTATTTCTTTCACAAACTCCTGATTTATTGGTTTTGGTGGTCCTTATCTGTCAGAAAGTTTGTTGATTTCAGGTTGCTAAGAGCAATGCTTTCCAAATTAACAACTCTAGCTGAACAGTCCATTCTAGCCCAAAGCAAGTAAATGGGCTGCTTCCTTCCTTCTTGACTGAAGTCACAGAATTTAAGGAATTACAAAATGTCAGAAATTAGTATATGAGATACTCTCCTTCATTTTCTTTCATGTGATAGAAGCAAAACACAACATAAACTGTTTGAAAGATGAGGCCATAAAATCCTCAAGAATTAATTTTTTTCTTATCCAAAGCACCAGTGGAGAAAAAAAAACCACTGGGCGTGATGGTGTTTGCCTGGAATATAAGCACTCTGGGAGGCTGAGGCAGGAAGAAGTTCTAGCCCAGCCTGGGAAATTTGGCAACATAGTGAGATCCTGTCTCAAAATAAAAAGATTGGGGATGTATGTAACTCAGTGTGGATGTCTGTGTTCAGTCCCCCATACCACACAAGCACACACACACACACACACACACACACACACACACACACACACACCCCAGAATACTCACACAGCCCTTCATTCATTCAGTGCCTTGCCCTACTCAATATTCACACACATTTCTGTCACCTCTTAGACTCAGACTTTCCACAGCTTCAGCAAGTCACCTCATCCTCCAAAATAACTTTTCTACCAGCCATGACATCTTATTTGCAATGATCTGTCAAGATATTTGTTGTTTGTGGTGCTGACAATTAAACTCAGGGCCTCATACATGCTAGACAGGATAGTCTACCAATGAGCTATACCCCCAGCCCTACAGTTGTCAAATATGTATTTTCAATGTAAGTTTTTGATTGTTTAAAAAACTTTATGCCTCTGCCCAAATGGTCTTTGGAGTAGCAAGAGATTCTTTCTCTAGTGCTCTTATTATTTTTCTCTGTGTTAGTTTTTTGTCAAAAAAGTGTTCCATTTCTTTTTTTTTTTTTTTTTTTTTTTTTTTTTCTGGTACCGGGGATTGAACTCGGGTCTTTGCACTTGCAAGGCAGGCCACCAAACCACTGAGCTAAATCCCTGGCTCCATTTCTTTATTTACTTGCTTACTAATTTAGTTCTTTATTTCAGTACTGGATATCAAATGCTAGGCAAGGACCCTCCACCCCTAGCTGTACTCCTAGCCTGATTTTATTTTTCAAAAAGGATTTATGTGCTAGGATCAGTGGCCTATGCTTGTAATTCCAGCTATGCAGGAGACAGAGGCAGGAGAATTGCAAGTTCAAGGCCAGCTGGGGCAACTCAGAAAGATCTAGCTTATAGATAAACATATTTTTTAAAAAAATAATTAAATTTTTTAAAGGGCTGGGAATGTAGCTCAATGGTAGACTGCTTGCCTAGCATGAACAAGATCCTAGGTATAGTCTCTAATAGCTAAAAAAAAACCCACATAAAGATTCGTATCATCTATAATTTTACCAAGATAACAATTATTAATATCTTGAAGTATTTCCAAAGACTGTTTTCTAAGTATATTTTCTTAACCGTGATTATAACTTCACAGAAAAGTTTAAACATTTAGCCAGTGACTTTGGATGTTAGCTTTTTAGTTCAATTTTACTACTGATTCTCAGTATGGAGAAAAACACCCGGGCCGGGGATTTGGCTCAGTGGTGCCACTGCCTGCCTTGCAAGCACAAGGACCCAAGGTTGATCCCCGGTCCAAAAAAAAAAGAGAAAAACACCCCCTAAAATAAAATGAATCTGCTAGATACAAGACATTGTGTTTTATAAATGTTAATGGTTGTTATATCTGCTTGTAAAAGACTGTGAGGCCAGGCAATGGGTCTGTCGTGTAATATTCAATACTTCTAAATGGTACAGATGAACTATGGTAGGGAAGTACAAAACCTGAATCTGTTTTTCTGAGAAAAAGAAAATTAGAATTAGGAGCAATTAAGAATGGCATGCATGCTCGGATTAAGAGTCAGAGAAGTTATTCTTTAAAAAACAAAAAGATTTTAGGGAAAGTGACAAGAGGTTAGGACATGGGAAAAGCTCAGATGCATTGCATGAGACCTGTGTGCCCTGGAGAGGAACCAGCATTAAAGGTGTCTGTGGTTGGAAGAGAATCCAGAGAAACTGTTTGATTGAACTTTGGTTGTCTGTAAGAAAAGCAGTTTTACTTGCCATGAAAGATAAAGGAGAAAGGAGTGGTCAGGGAGGAACCAATGACCAAAGAACCTGATGAAAATAGTTCCAGATTCTATTCTGAACACTAGTCAGAGGGAACCAGTAAAGAAAGCAGGATAGGTATAAAATAGTGAAGACAGGATTGTGGCTAAGGGAGCAGCCAGCTGGTTTACAGGAAAATGCATGTGGTGAGGAGGAAATAGGAGACTTTCACTGACCATGAATTCATTGTAGTTCCATCTTGTAAAGTCGACACCTCCAAAATAGTATTACATTCACAATACTCCACGGAAGCAACCTGTTACTGAATTACTTTCTGTGTCTTGCTCAGTTTAGTCCCATTTTCTGCAACTGGTGCTGCATACTGCACAATAATAACAATGGCAGGCTGGGTGTGGTGGTGCATGCCCCTAATCTCAGGACTCTTGGGAGGCCAAGGCAGGAGGACAGTCTATTGACTTAGTAAGACCCTGTCTCAAAATAAAAAAGGGCTGGGGATGTCACTCAGTGGGAAAGACCTGGGTTCAATTCTCTGTACCTCAAACAACAATGACAAAATGATGATAATGACAGTAGCAATAGGTAACATTTACTAAGTACTTACTACCCGCTAGGCATCTGTTTTAATATACATCGACTGGTCACCTTACCCCAGTAAGGTGGGAACTTTTATTCTCTCTATTGTTCAGGCGTCCGAACCAAACAGGAGAATCAGAATTGGAATTTGAATCATGGCTGTCTGGCTTCAGTCTAAGCTGTAGTTCCCCATCTCCTCCCCTTTCTTTTGAGATGCGGGTCTAAGTTTCTCAGACTGGAAATGAACTTGCCATCTTCCTGCCTGAGCCTTTTAAGTAGCTGAGATTTCAGAAGTGTTCCACTGTGCTGGCTTCTTCCCCAAACTGTGGATCCTACTACTTTGCTTGGTCCTGTTTTAGCATATAGGCTTGCCTCCTACATCACAGGAAAGCTGAGGCTCTGGGGCCTTAATTCCTTCGCTTCCTATCTGGATCTTCTGCTCCCTTTCTTTCATCGCAAGGGAATTCTCCCCCCACCTGCGCTACTAATCTCATTCACCTCCTGTCACTACACATCAGGACCATGTCCCATTGATTCCTAGCCCTACCCTTCACTTATCCTGTTTATTTCTTCTTGTGAACAGTTCTGTGTTCTATTTTTATGAATAACCAACCTAGACTCGCTTCTCTTAGTTCTCTTATGCCTCTTAGTTTCTTTGAGCAGTATTTCAGTCATCTTTGTACCACTAGAAAAAGTGTCAAAAAAGTGAGTATATACGCATTGGATGGATAGTATTAGAATATTCCCGGGAGCTGATGGTCCTCAGCTCTGTGCTGGGTGTATAGTTGGAGTGATAAGGAAGATAGTTGCATATCCTAGGATCTGTAGTAAAGAGGCTTTAAACCATGCCATATGGAAGCAGAGGCAGTTGAAAGAAATTCGATTGTTTAGCCAAGACAATGGAAGGGAACACTTGAGGAACAACATAGCTACTTCAGGTTTTTGAAAGATTGGCATATGGAAGGAGGATTGACTATATTTTTTCTGAGAATATAGAAGTTATTCATTACCAAGACAATTTTAAATAAAACAATATTACAGTATTTTGTAATGTATAAAATCCCTGGTAATATGAACTGTTATTACCCTAATATATAGTTGCAAACATGAAGTCTTACATTTGATCTTAGCCAAAAGGCTGAAAAGCAATTCATGAAGTCTTACAAATTGTATTCATTTAAACAAGGCACATGCCTATATATTTATCAGAAATGCTGGATAGTACCTAAAAAGGTAAGTGAATTTTGCTAAAACAAGATAATATTACATTTTATGACAAAGAATTCTGAAATAACTTTCCTAAAGAAAAATCAAGTCTGAATGAGTAAGACAGCAGAAAAACTTCATGAAGGACCAGATTATAACTGAAAAATCAATTAGTTTAAATAAATGAAGGTATTGTACATTAACCTGTTCAAAACCCAGTGTAATATTGTGATTAGAGTAGTTTTAGCAATTAAAACAAACTAGGATTTTTTTGGATGTTTTAATTATGATTTCCCAAATTAACCACTTACTGTGTTTCTACTACAATTAGCACTACCAGTTACAAGTATAATACAGCATACAGAAAAGTGAGTATATTCTGTATTTATGAAATATGTTATCTGTATGTATTTTGATTATGAATTAAAGGGAAATTTTCATTATACTTAAAACACGATCATCCCATAAGAGAAAATTGACAAAACTCTCCCACCAGACTATTTTTTTTATATCTCAAAAAAATATGGTTAAGATTTGTAGCTGAAAGTTACAAGGGAAAGGAATTTTTTTTTCAGTGCTGTAGATCAAACCCAAGGACCCATTAGACTACTGTTCTATAGAGTCTACCCCCAGCCCATAGATTTTTTAAATACCAAAGTTGTCCAGTAGACATTGGTCTACCATAAGAGATACAGTGACCATCTTGTCAGTGGAAGTGTTGCTGGGTGGTCACATGACAGATAGTTCTAGAGGAGATTGAAGCATAAAAAAGTGTTGTTGCTTACATAGCCTTTAAGCTCTATAATAATCTTAAATTTTGGAAGAGCTCAATAATTTATCCCAGTGTCTTCTTCTCAGGATATACAGCAGAATCACATATACCAATGCTTGGATCCCTTCCCAGGTTGCACCATTTTAAAAAAATCTTTTATATTGGATTGTTTTGACCAAGGCTTAAGCATTGGTATTTTTAGGAACTCCCAGTTGATTCTAAAATTTAGTTGATTCTAAAGCCACAGCTGAGAACCTCTGATTTATCAAAATCAAACTGATCTGATTCAGATGGTATGCATTAATATTTTACTTGCACTAACTATAAATATACCACCTTAGTTATATAGGTCAGTTTAATGTAAATGTCATTCCATATTATATTTATACCTGATTCAAACTGCGATGTGTTATGATATATTATTAAAACATAAGAACAAAACTAACCAATCATAATATAAAATTACTAAGCATGAAGGATTTTTTCCTGTAGTTATTAAAATATTGGTATGCACATTTCTTGCACACACATGTAAGAAAGGCAATTTCTTGTAGCAATTGCCAAATAAATGAATGCAGTGATTGTTGGTCTGCTCAGAATAATAAATCAGTCATTGATAATTTGGAAAGTTGTTGCATTCCTTAATGCAACCTGGAACCCTTTCTTTGGGTATTTACCTGGCTCTGTGTCATTGTGTGCTGGTAGTGAAGTGGAAGTAGCACATAGAAGTAAAAAGAAAAACTTTACATCTTATATTCATTTCTCCCAGGACCACTCAAGTGAAATAAATACCACTACAAATGCTCTAGTGTTGTTTTTTTAAAATTGTTATGCTTAGTTGTATCAATAATACAAATGTGAGTTGTGTTCCTGAAGTACCATTCTAGTTAATTTTCTCCTCCTTTCTGTTTATCATTGTCTTTAAAGCTATCGGTGTCAGCAACCAGAGGGAGACTACTGTGGTTTGGGACAAATTGACTGGAGAGCCCCTCTACAATGCTGTGGGTAAGCTGCCATGCATGGAAGTCCAGTACAGAGCCTCAGTTCCCTTGAAGATGTGGTCACACAAAGCTATCCTCCTGAAAAAGCATGTGTTCATGTTTCTATAACCTAGTGGGATAGGCAGAGGAGTTATCTAAGCCATTAGATGTTGTATATTTACAAGTTTTAGACCATATTCATATATTGAATGACTTTTCTCCCATGTGCTTTACTTTTGCTGATTATTTACTTTATATAAGAGGGCATGTTGACACCTGTTTCATAGTCCCTGTGTTTCAGCCATCTAAAAGAGATCTCACTTCCTCATACCCCCAAAAAGTCAAAATTTCATAACAGAATAATAACAATAACAATTGTTAATATAGCGTGTGTCATTATCTTTAAATGAAACTAAAAGCCAGACAAAAGTCACAATTGTAAGTTTTCATTCGTCTGTCAATAAAGTATTTTGTTAGGGCTGGGGATTCAATCCCAGTACAAAAAATTAAAAAAGTATTATGTCTTTTTTTCCCCCAATACTGGGAATCGAACTTGGGACCTTGTGCTTGGCAGGCAGGCGCAGTGACACTGAGCTGCATTCCTGGCCCTGTATATTCTTTCCATCTAAGAATTTGAATTACTTTTCTGAGGCTATAATAATGAAATATTGGGTGCTTCTGCTACAAATTTGGCAGTTTTGGCTGGGATTAAAAGACTCAAAATCTCATATACTGCTTTTTTTTTCTTTTCTCTTTTTTCTTTTTTTCTTTTTTGGCACTGGGAATTAAACCCAAGGCCTTCATACTGACTTGTGTCCCTAGCCCTTTTTTCTTTTTTCTTTTGAGACAGGGTCTCGCTGATTTGTCAAATTGCCTAGGCTGTGCTCCAAGTTCCTATTCTAATTGTTGTGCACTAAATTACATTGTTACTTCCTAAAAGAAAAATTGTGTCGTAAATGTATAATTATTAAAAGACTTTGGTCTTTCTTTGTTCTGTATTGAAGATTGAACCCAGAGCCTTGGTGCATGCTAGGCAGGTGATCTACCACTGTGCTGTGTCACCAGCTCATTTTTTTTAAAACTCTTTTTTTTTTTTTTTTTTTTTTTTATAGTGGGGATCAGACTTAGGACCTGGTACTTGTGAGCCAGGTGGGGCAGAACCACTGAGCTAAATCCCCAGCCCACATTTTTGAATTTCATTTTGAGACAAGATCTTGCTACATTACCCATGCTGGCCTCAAACTTGCAATCCTCTTGCCTTAGCCTCCCTATTATTTGGGGTTATTGGCACCACCAAGCCTGGCTGCAAAGCACAACTAAATACCTATCAATAAAATACTAAGTTTTGGTTGGGGAATGGGGCTAGAAATCGTCAAAGTTGAGATCACTTACAGAGTAAGCTTTTCTTTTTCTTCTTTGTTTTTTTTTCTTTTTTGAAGTGGGATCTTGCCAAGTTTCCCAGGCTGGGCTTGACCTCCTGGGCTCCAGTACCCTTTCCACCTCAGACTCGTGAGGGCTAGGACTACAAAATCATACCACTTCCCAAGTTGAATGGTTCTATTTTTATTTTATAGTTATTTTAGTAGTATAATTACTTTAGTATTGATTAGAAGAGAGTAATATCAAAGCAGAAAATTTGTGGAAAAGGTGCATTGTAAGAGTAGCATGGATTCTTTGGTAATAATCATTATAAAGATTAAGATATCTAAATATTATTGTAGTATAAGAAAACATGCAATATGTATTTTATATTTGTTTGTTTTTGTGATGCTGGGGATTGAGCCCAAGGGCTTCACACTGAACTACATCTCCATCTCTTTATTTTATATTTTGAGACAGTTCTTGCTAAGTCACTAAGGCAGGGTATTGAGATGGATTTTTCTTTCCTTCTTTCTATACAAGGGATTAAACATAGGGCTTTCGTTCTGAGCTATATCCCCAGCTCTTTTTTTATTATTATTTTAGGACAGTGTCTTGCTGAGGTGTCCATGCTGTGCTTGAACTTGATACCCTCCTGCCTTAGCCTCCTGAGTAGTTAAGTTTACAGGCATGAGCCATCACTTCTTGATAGAGTAATCTTAGCTACCTGTTGGAACTAGATGAGATATTTTTGTTGTTGTTGTAATTTAGGGTCTTTAAGATGGGAGGCTCCCCTTCAGTGATTAGGGGACAATAACATGGAAATAAAGATTTTGTTACTTTCAGGTCTTTAGGGGGTACACGGCATGCCTGGATGCCACATTCACAGGAATCAGATGATACAGGCCGGTAGGGGGACCAGAGGCAACCCCTATATTGGGGTCAGAGTGTCATCCAAATGGATTTCCTGAAAGAAATTGTAAAGCAAGCACAAGTTTCAGGATGTCACTTATAACTGGAAGGTGGTCACTGACACCTGCAAAGTCCATGCGGGGTGTGAGGGCACAATGGGGCCAGTCTAGTAGGCTTTATATAGTTGTGTTTTACTGAGATGCTTACCAGGAGGAAGTGGTATAAGGCAAATATCTGGACCAAGTCCCTTAAGGGACTGGGAAGGAGGTAGAGAATTAAATATTGTGTCAAGGGTTACTGAGCCTGCTTCTGAATGAAAAATTAAGCTTATATTTAAATGGATACCAAAGCAACATAAAATCATAAGAATTCACAGTAGAGTTTGACTTTTTTTCCTCAAGCAAAGGAAAGACCTATTTAAGGGAACCTGTTAAAATATAAACCTTGGATTATATAATAGGAGCTTTGGACTCTCTGTGTGTGGGTGTGTGTGCGCACGCATGTGCATGCGCGTGCACGTGCATGTATGTGCATATAGTACTGGGAATTAAATCCATGGTCTTCATATTGAACTGCATCCCCAGCACTTTTTATTTTGATTTTTATTTTGAGACAGTGTGTTACTAAGTTGCAGGCTAGGTTTGAATTTGTGATACTCCTGCCTCAGCCTCCCAGAGTGCTAGGAGTACAGATGTGTGCCACCATTCCCAGCTGGCACTTTGGACTTTGAATTGTCTTTTGTGTGTGTGTGGAACCTGGAATCGAACTCATCGGGACCTTGCACTTGCAAGGCAGTTGCAGTGCCACCTGAGCTAAATCTGCAGCCCTGAATGTCATTTTAAAATAATACAACTAAGTTAGTTGAAGTTATACTTGCAGTAAAGAATTTTTTTTCTTTCTACTGTACTAGGCATCAAACCCAGGGCCTCATGTATACGAGGTAAGGTAAGCATTCTACCACTGAGGCACAGCCCCAGCTCTGTAGTGCAGAATTTAAGTAAATATCCCAAAGTGGTTCTTCATTGTGCTTAATTTACTTTTCTTCCACCAGTATCCCTCTGTACCTCTCTTCTTCTATCCTTTTGAATTATCAATTCAAATGTACCTATTCATACATGAAGAACTTTTTTTCTATACTGAGCTACATATATGATTTGAATGCCTCTTATGTATTTGATATCCTCAGCATTATAAAAGTTGCAAATGTACTGATTGTTTTAGTGAGCATTTTATAATCTAGGTAGAAAGGAGGATATAGTTGATAGTAATGTGCTGCTAAGATGAATAGGCATTAGAACAAATCCATGTCAAGATTTTTAATTTTTGACATAACTTTCATTGTGGAATTTAAATTTCATTTGAGCCTTAATATGTGTTGGATTGCATTAGGCAAAGGGAGAATTGAGGAATAGTGGGAGTGCACTATAAAGATAAAAATGTATATACATATTTTGCAAAAGAGTGATTGATCAGATTTAAGTGTAATTTAACTTGTTTATTTTTGGTATTGGAGATTGAACCCAGGATCTCACGCATGCTAGCCACACACTTTAGAGCAGAGCACATCCCCAACACTTTTTAAAATTTTATTTTGAGACGAGGTCTCAGTAAGTTTTTTAGGCTGGCCTTGAACTTGTGATCCTCCTATTTCAGCCACCTTCATAGCTGGGGCTACAGGAGTGTATTTCCACACCTAGCTGCTGACTTACTTATTTTTAGTTGAGCTGGCAGCAATACTGCTTATTATGTACTAACTGCTATTACTGTAGGATTTTACTAAATGTTTTATCCAAATTATGTAATCTCAAAAGGCCCTGTGATGCAGGTTTACTCGCCTTATTTTATATATTGATTATGGAAAATCCTATAACATGTCCACTGTCATGAAACTTTAAGTTGGAATAAAGCCATAGTTTCAGCATACACAATCTCTAACCCCAAAGCATGTGTTCTAATTAGTATGTGTAGGGGTTGGTGAGGATGCACTGAAAGCCATACATAGAAGTAAGTGTAGACTTGGTAATACTGGGCAGCTTGGGATAAAAGGGTGTTTTAAACACACTGGTAAATTGAGAACTGCTAGAAAAATGTAACAAAATTCTGAGAAACTAAGCAACTACCAGGGCAGTGATAAATTATTGCTTATCCCACAAAGATATCCATAGATTCTGAGAGAAGGATCTGAGATGCTGAGTAGCACTTTCATAGGTTCATGAATGAAGGTAGGGATGAAAAGATAGTGTAAGGGCTTTCCAAGTGTTGGGGTGAATTTTGGTAAAATCCCAGGCTTTGGATTGACACTGTGAAGAGCTAAGTCCTAACAGTAAGGTAAAATGGAATTATGCCAATGTTCTCAGGAACTGAAGCCCAGATTCAAATAATATGATTCTTTGGATTAGGGAGGGCAGGATATGGGGAAAGATAAGAATCAAGATATATTATATAAAGGTACAAATCTCCAACAATAAATGTCATTATATTGTATACCTAAAACGTACCAATAAAATTTTAAAAAAGATTATTTGAGATTGCTCATATAAGTAGCCTAACTTTCAGAAACAGAAGGAAATCCTTTCTGAAGGAAAACAACATCTAGAGTGTCGAGTTGTCTCTAGTTTTTCATATGCAACGTCTAGTTTTCTATCAAAAACTCACATATATATAGAACAAAATAAGTCAGGGGCACGCTTCCCGGTCTCCCAGGCTTTCTTCAGAAATCTGGGTGGAAGCCTCTGTGACCCTGTTAGTATTAGA